GGAAGGGAAAGAAAGAAAGAAGCCACAGACCATACAAGAGTACATAAATAAATGGGTTTGGCCATATTCCAACAAACTTTATTTATGGACCCTGACATTTGAATTTCATGTGATTTTTGTACGTCACAAATAGTTTTCTTTTGTTTTTCCCCTCAACCATATTAAAATGTAAAAAGCATTATTTGCTAATAGTTTGCTGACCCCTGGCATAGATATGCTTTACCCAAAAGTTGGTGTCTCCATCTGCAATGTGACTTCAGCAATCACATACCTGACAGTAGTGGTAACAACAGCTAACACATGCGTAGGGCCTTACCCCCTTACAAAGTATGTTCAACTGCAAACCAAAAACATGTCAGGTAAGATGACGCTCAGGAAAAAGATGAAGACACTGAGACTCAGAGAAGCTAAGAGACTTGCCCATGGTAAGCTGGGAAGTAAAGAGTCACTAGAACTCTAACCACTATCTGATTTAATAACCTACAGGAATAAGACTTCCTAACTTGCCTTTTTTTTTTTCCTTTTGGTGATACCACCACTCTTCTGCTCTCTCGGGTTGAAAATGTGGAGAAAGCTGTGGCTCCTCTATCTCCTTGACTCCACCGCTTCAATCTCTCATGTCAAGACCTTGGCAAGACCTCGGCAAGACCTCTCTGGTTTGTCCTTCCATCATCACTCCTTCTGTCTCAACTGGGATTCAGGCAAAGATGATGGTGATCAATCAGAATAAGAGCAGAGTCATAGGAAGGTCAAAAGAAGAAAGTACAGAAACCTCAAGAATGAGGCCAAATATTAGTGATTCTAAGAGCAATTCCATGGAGAAGTGAGGTCAACCACTGATCTACTAAGTGACTTTGGAGAAATTAGTAAACCTCTTGGACCACAGTTTCCTCATATGTGAAATGAAGATGCTAATACCTGTCTTGCAAGATTGTTGTGAAGATTATAAATAGCATGAGAGAGAGAAAAAGAAAGACGGAGGGTAGGAAAGCACAAGGCAGAACTACAAACTCTGCAGCAAGATGTTAGGGAATGGGCTGGGTATCATATAAGGAGCAAAACAAGAGAGGCGGGAGCAGGAACGCAGATGCGACCACCTCCTGGAGGTGCGCTGGGGCCAGCAGACTACTTGTGGGTGGTAGGATAAGGGTGGCTCAGAGAAGGGGGAAAGAGGCACAGATCAAGCCAGGGTCGGAGGCACTGACAGGCTTTTGAACTGTAGGAAATTCATTACGAAGAGAAATGTTTTCACTTCAACTGTCCATGTCTTAGGTTTTAGAGCCAATTTCGGAGTCCTGCTTTAGATGATCCTTAAGGCAGTAATTCTCCACATCAGCACAGGATGTGCACATGTGCATATAGGTAGCTTGAAAGAGCACGTTCAGTGGACCTGGTTCTATAGTGTTTAAGAGGGAATAGCAAAAAAAGCTGAGCAAAATTTTCTTAGCTTGTGACAGGCGTGATACACCGAAGAATGTGAGAAAGCATTTGGGGAGCATGGGTCCAAAAAAGGTTCTTTAGAGTGAGCTGGCTGTGTTTCCTCATTTAAGAATACGAGACCCCTAAGGATCATGCCAGAGTAACATAGGTGAGCTGATACACACTGCACCCCAATCTGGGGATGCCCTCATCTTGAGAACTTGAAAAAGCCCTACTATGTGTTCTTATATGGTCACTCTGGCCCATATCCCCCCACCCCTTCCCAAAGTGACCCTCTGTCTCCTCTCTGACAAATGCCCTCCTCTTTCACCCTCTGTGTGTGTCTCCCTCTGACTCTGTCTCTGTGCATAACACTGCAGCTTGTATCTCTCTTTTTCTCCCTTTTTTACTCTTTCTCTCAGACTCTGTGTATCTGTATGGCTCTGTGTTCTCTGTATCTGTCTTTCTCTCCCCCACCCGCCGTGTGTGTGTGTGTGCGTCTTTGTTAGAGAACAAACTAGGTCTTAGCCCAAGGATTTTTTCCACTAGGTCCTGTGCCAGGTTTCTCTCCATTGGGCAACAATAGTCTTAAGTGGCAGAAATCCTAGGGTGAAATTTATAACTCAGAATGAGCAATACTGAACAGATATTGAGTATGGGATCAGGGTGCGTGGTGACACTACAAAAAAGACAAGAGGAAGGAGCAAATTCCTAGGGGGATAATAATGAGTTTTACCCTGAATATGTGGAGTTTAAAGTATTTACACAATATCCACATGGATGTGTCTGTTGGCAGCTAAAAATTTGTATATGGAGAAACTCAGGCTGAAGACCAATGTTTGGGAAATGCCTACATATTGATGGAAACTGAAGTCAAAAGAGTAGATAAGACCACCCTGTTGTATAGAGTGTATATTAGACAGGGCTGTCCAGAGAAACAGAACCAATAGATATATGAGATTTATTATAAGGAACTGGCTCATGTGTATGGAGATTGACAAGTCCCAAGATCCGTAGGGTGAGTCAGCAGGCTGGAGATCCTGGAGAGCTGATGGTATATGTAGTTCTAGTCCAAAAGCTGGAGGTTCAAGGCTCTGGAAGAACTGACATTTCAAGTTCAAAGGCAGGAGATAAAAACCCATGAGTCAGGGACACAGACAAGTGTGGTGATTAAGGGAGGGGGGGAGGTAGAGGAGAGTATAGGGAGGATAAATGGTGATGGGGGGACCATGAATCAGGCAGAAGGAAGTCTCCCTTACTCACAGGAATGTCAGCCTTTTTGCTCTATTCAGACCTTCAACTGATTAAATGAGGCCCACCACATAGGGAGGGCAATCTGCTTTACTCAGTCTACTCATTCAAATGCTAATCTCATCCAGAAACACCTTCACAGACACACTCAGAATAATGTTTGACCAATAGTGTGAGCAGCACAAGGCCATCAAATTGATACATAAAATTAACCATCACAGAGTAAGGCTGGACAAGACCAAAGTCATAATGTGGAGATCTCCAATAGTTAAAGGCCAGGCAGAAGAGACGGCAAAGGAATGGTCAGATGGGCTCAGAAGCCTAAACTGTTTATATAAAACAACCCAATAGACACTTCCAAATTCCATTGATCAAATCCTTTTTCCAGGTACAGCCAAGTCCACTGATGCCCTGGCGCACAGCAGAGGTTCC